ATGAATATGTGTTATTTAGAAAACAGGGGATAAAGATTTGTTCAAAGTTATACCATAGTTGAAGAAGGCAAGGAAGGTATTTATTCATTAGATTGATTTATTGCAGAGGTGTCAAACTCAAGGTTCACAACCACATTCAGCCTGTGGGGTGCTTAGATGTGGCCCACGGGGCTGCCATTGAAACAGCAAAGGGCTGGCCCATGGTGCCTCTGCCAGCAAAAATGGAGTTTGGAAGGGCTGCGTGCGGTCTTCCTGGGCTCCATTTTTGGCTGCGACGGTTTCCTGCAGCCCTCCGCCAGTCAAAATGAAAGCCGGGAAGGCCCAGGGAGGGCTACAAGAGGTCATCGCAGTGACCTCAGAGCTGGCCATCACAGAGCTGGCCACGCCCATCCCGGCCCTCTGAAGTCAAACACAACCCTGATGCAGCCCTCAATGGAAATTCAGTGTGACACCCCTGATCTATAGTCTTTCTCTTAAAAAAATAATGCTCAGAGTGGACAACAATCTCTTGCTTTGCCTTTTGACTGACTAGGAAAAATTCTGTCTAATGTAGAGCTTAGATATATCCATTGGGGGGGGGGAGGTGAAGGCCTACTTCCAATTCTCAAGGTCACACTATCAAAATTGGTAGGTCACCTGAATAGCTTGCTTAGCCACTAGGATTGTTAGAATTCTATACTTCTTCTCTGATGCTTTCTGAACCTGTCTCTTTCTCAAGCATCAGGTCTGAGACAAAATACGAACACTCAAGAGCACATTTGCAGTATATTCATGTCATGACAAAGCTGTATAACAATATGAAAAAAGTGGAAACTCCACAATCTAAAAATAGAGTAAGCTTTCCCCATCCTCATTTCAGAGGGCAACTAGTGCTACAGACAAGGCCTGCTTTCAGAGATCCAATAAACGGCATTTCTGCCAAATCAAATTGGCTTGGAAATTACTATGGGAGAAAGTTAATGCCTCAAGTAACCAGGCTCTGCGTCATATGGGGCTTTCTAGCTAACAAGCAGCACCTTGAATCCAAGATACCTGTTATTTCCAACAATGTCTGATTTCTAAAGGGGCAGCTGCAGCCTAGTGCATCCAGGTATTCAGGAGGGAAAAAAATCATGCTATATGGGCATAATAAGGAATGTCCTATGAGTTGCCTATTCGCTTAAAATTATCATAGTGTGAGCCAATTGACTAGTGAGCTGGCTTAGTTTAGGTTATGGTGAACTTGAACATTGCAAGCTTTTGCTGATGAAATCACATGCCTTCATATGGGCAAGAAAAACCAAATCCACAGTTATAAGCCAGGCAGCACCTGGCGCAAATGTAGCAACCGTGACAGGGAACTGGGTGTCCTTGTAAACCATCACTTCAATAAGAGCCTGCGGTTTGCTGCAGCTGCCAAAAAAGCCTAATGCAGTTCTCGGTTACATCAATAGAGTCAACATCACATGAAGTGTTGCTTTATGCTGCAATGATGAGGCCACATTTGGAGCACTATGTTCAATTCTGGTCCCCAGGGGGGAAAAAAAGGATGCTGATGTTGGTTCATCTATACTAACCGAAATATGTCTGTGTATGTTGGTTATACAGGGAGTTCTCAACTTGCAACAGTTCATTTTGTGACCGTTCAAAGTTACAACAGTACTGAAAAAGTGAATTATCACCATTTCCCACAGCCTTTGCAGGATCCCTATGGTCATGCCAGCAGGCCTGGGGTTGATGAGTTCCCCTCCCCTCTCGACTTGTGTGGTTGTGTGATTCTTGTCTATTTTTACTTTGTTATTGTGT